TGTGGCTGTAGCGGCCACCAATTCAGGTTGGTGTGGCTGTAGCATGCGCACCATTCAGGTTGGTGTGTCTGTAGGCGGCCACTGGCGATCAAGGTTGGTGTGAGCAGTACATTGCGGCCACCAGTCAGGTTGGTGTTTGCCTGGTAGCGGGCTCATCGGCATTGCAGGTTGGTGTGGCTGTAGCGGGCCAATCACAGTCATGTTGGTGTGGCTGTAGTGGCGGTCGCACCAGTCAGGTTGGTGTGCTGTAGCGCCACCATCAGGTTGGTGTGGTTGTAGCGGCCACCAGTACAGGGTTGGTGTGGTTGTATAGCGGCCACCAGTCAGGTTGTGTGTTGCATGTAGCGGCGCACCAGTTCAGTTTGGTGTTGCTGTAGCGGCCACCAGTCAGGTTGTGCTGTAGGCGGCCACCAGTCCAGGTTGGGTGTGTGGCTGTAGCGTCCACTCAGTCAGGTTGTGTAGGGGCTGTAGTCTGCCACCGAGTCAGGTTGGTGTGGCTGTAGCGGCCACCAGTCCAGTTGGTGGCGGCTGTAGGCTGGCACCAGTCAGGTTGGTGGTGGCTGTAGGGCGGCCACCAGTCAGGTGTGTGTGGCCTGTAGCGGGCCACCAGTCATGTGTGTTGGCTTGTACAGGGCCACCAGTCAGGTTGGTGTTTGGTGCTGTAGTCGGCTCTACCAAGTCAGGTTGTGTGGCGCAGTATCGGCGTTACACGCAGTCAGGTTGTGTCTGTTAGTCGGCACACCAGTCAGGTTGGTTGTGTTGGCTGTGTAGGCGGCCACCAGTCAGTTGTGTGTGGCTGTAGGGCGGCCTTACCTAGTCAGTTGGTGTGGGCTGAAGTGCGGGCCCACCAGTCAGGTTGTGTGTGGCTGTAGCTGGCGCAGCCAGATCAGGTTGTGCGTCTGTAGCGGCCACCAGTCAGGTTGTTGTGTGGCTAGTAGCGGCCACGCAGTTCAAGGTGGTGTGTGGCTGAAACGCCACCATCAGGTTGGTGTTTGGCTGAGCGGGACGCACCAGTCAGGTTGGTGTGGCTGTATCTGCCACCAGTCGAGGTTGTGGCTGTAGCGGCCAACACTTAGTCCAGGTTGGTGGTGTGCTGTAGCGGCCAGGACATCAGGTTTGGTGTTGCTGTAGGCAGTCCTACCAGTCAGGTTATGTTGTTGCTGTAGGCGGCACCAGTCAGGTTGGTGTGGCTGTAGCGGGCCACGCGAGTCAGGGTTGGTGTGGCTTGTAGCAGCCTACCAGTCAGTTGTTGTGGCTGTAGCGTTCGCACCGATGTCTAGGTTGGTGGTGGCTGGTAAGCGCGCCTAACGCCCAGGGGGGGGGGGGGGGGGGGGGGGGGGGGGGGGGGGGGGGGGGCCAGTCAGGTTGATTGGGATTGTATGGCGGCCAACTCCAGTCAGAGTTGGTGAGGTTGTTAGCGGCCACCGTCAGGTGTGTGTTGGCTGTAAGTAGGGCCACCAGTCAGGTTGGTTGTGGCTGTAGCGGCCACCTAGTCAGGTTGTGGCTGTATCGGTCCATCACAGTCAGGTTGGTGGTGGGCTGTAGCGGCCATTCCAGTGCACGTTGGTGTGGCTGTAGGCGGCCATCCAGTCAGGGTTGTGTGGCTGTAGCGGCGCACCAGTCATGTTGGTGTGGCTGTAGCGGCAAAGCCACGCAGTCCAGGATGGTGTGGCTGTAGGCGGCCACCAGTCAGGTTGGTGGTAGGCTGTAGCGGCCAACCGAGTCAGGTGGTGTGACTGTAGCGTCCACAGTCAAGGTTGGTGGTGGTCTGTGCGGGCCACCATGGGGGTCAGGTTGGTGTGGCTTAGGGCGGCCCACCAGTCAGGTTGGTGAGTGTGCTGTAGCGGCCACCAGTCAGGTTGGTGTGTGGCTGTAGCGGCCACCAGTCAGGTTGGTGTGTGGCTGTAGCGGCCACCAGTCAGGTTGGTGTGGTTTAGCGCCACTGCAGTCAGTTGGTGTGGCTGAGCGGCCACCTGAGTCAGGTGGTGTGGCTGTAGCGGCCACCAGTCAGGTTGTGCTGTAGGCGCCACCAAGTCAGGTTGGTGTGTGGCGTAGCGGCCACGCATTCAGGTTGGGTGTTGCTGTAGCGGCCATACCATGCAGGTTGGTGTGGCTGTATGCGGCCACCAGTCAGGTTGGATGCGGGCTGTAGCGCACCAGTCAGGTTGGTGGCGGACTGTATCGGCCACCATTCAGGTTGTGTGTGTTGGCTGTAGGGCTGGCCACCAGTCAGGTTGGTGTGTGGCTGTAGCGGCCACCAGTCAGGTTGGTGTGTGGCTGTAGCGGCCACCAGTCAGGTTGGTGTGGCTGTAGCGGCCACCAGTCAGTTGGTGGCTGTAGCGGCCACCAGTCAGGTTGGTGTGTGGCTGTAGGCGGCGCACCAGTGCATGTTGGGTGTGTTGGCTGTATCGGCCACACAGTTCAGCGTTGGTGTGGCTGTATGGCGCCACCGAGCAGGTTGGTGGTGGCTGTAGCGGTGCCACCAGTCCCAGGGTTGGGTGCGGCTGTAGCGTGCCACGGCAGTCAGGTTGGTGTGTGGCTGTAGCGGGCCACCGAGTCAGGTTGTTGTGTTGGCTGTATCGGCCACTCAGTCGCAGGTTGGTGTGTGGCTGAGGTCTGGCCACCTAGGTCCGGTTGGTGTGTGGGCTTGTAGGCGGCCACCTATCAGGTTGGTGTGGCTGTAGCGGCTCACCGAGCAGGTTGTGGCTGTAAGTAGAGCGGCCGCACCAGTCAGGTTGGTGTGTGCTGTAGCGGGCCACCAGTCCAGGTTGGTGTCGCTTGTAATGCTGCCTGCACCAGTCAGTTGTGGCTGTTAGCGTCCACACAGTCCAGGTTGATGTTGGCTGTAGCGGCCACCAGGTCAGGTTGTGTGGTGCTGTAGTGCGGGCCACTCATCAAGGTTGGTGGTGCGGGACTTGTAGGACGGGCCCACGCCGTCAGTGTTGGTGTGTGGCGTGTAGGCGGGGCCACCAGTCAGGTTGGTGTGTGGCTGTAGCGGCCACCAAGTCAGGTTTTTGTGGCTGGGTAGGCGGCCACCTAGTCAGGGTATGGTTGGCTGAAGCTGGACACACCTATTACATTGTTGTGCTGTAGGCGGCCACCCAGTCAGTGTTGGTGTGTGGGCTGTAGGAGCGGCCACCAGTCAGTGTTTGGTGATGGCTGTAGGTGCGTCCATCCATCCAGGTTTGTTGGCTGGTAGCGGCCCAATCCAGTCCAGGTTGGGTGTCTGGCCGTAGCGGGCGCTCGCAGTCAGGTTGGTGTGTGTCCTGTAGTAGGGCGGGCCACCAGTCAGATTGGTGTGGTTTTATTTTTTGTTTGCTGGTGAGCGGCCACTCAGTCAGGTTTGGTGTGTTTGTAGCGGCCACCAGTCAGTTGGTGCGGCAGTAGGCGGCCACCATCAGGTTGGTTGTGTGGCTGTAGCGGCGCGGCCCCACCAGTCAGGGTGTGTGTGGCTGTAGCTGGCCACCATCAGGTTGTGGTGTGGCTGTATACGGCCACCGTCTAGGTTGGTTGGTGGGCTGTAGGCGGCCACCTAGTCAGGGTTGGTGTGCTGTAAGCGGCCACCAGTCAGGTTGGTGTGTGGGCTGTAGCGGCCAGCCAGTCAGGTTTGGTGTGTGGCTGTAGCGGGCCACCATCAGGTTGGTGTGTGGCAGTACGGCCACCAGATCAGGGTTGGTGTTGGCTGTAGCGCGCACCAGTCAGGGTTGGTGTGGCTAGTAGCAGCCACCAGTCAGGTTGTGTGCGGTCTGTATTGGCGGCCACCAGTCAGGTTTGTGTGCGGGCTTGTAGGCGGCCACCAGTCATTTGGTGTGTGGCTGTAGGGCGCCAGCCAGTCGCAGGTTGGTGTGTGGCTGTAGCGGCGCACCAGTCAGTTGGTGTGTGGTCTGTAGCGGTCGCAGCCAGTCAGGTTTTGGTGTGGCTGTAGCGGGCCACCAGTCTGGTTGGTGCGGCTGTAGCGGCCACGCAGTAGGTTTGGTGTGTGTGTCTGTAGCGGGCCGACGGCAGTCAGGTTGGTGTGTGGCTGTAAGCTGCCAAAACCATTCAGGTGGTGTGAGGCGTAGCGGCCACCTTAGTCAGGTTGGTGTGGCTGTAGTCGGAGCTCACGTTCATGTCAGGTTGGGTGTGGCCTTTAGTCGGACACCATGTCAGGTTGGTGTGTGTGCTGTAGCGGCCACCATGGTCAGGTTGGTGTGGCTGTAAGGCGGTGCCACCAGGTGCAGGTTGTTGGAGCTGTATGCGGCCACCAGAGTCAGGTTGGTGTGTGGCTGTAGCGGCCGCCGCTCCCCCAGTCAGGTTGGTGTGCTGGCTGTAGGGCGGCCACCAGTCAGGTTGGTGTGGCTGTGGGCGTCCCGACCAGCTTCAGGTTTTGTGTGGCTGTAGGCGGGTAGCGGCTCACCAGTCCAGGTTGGTAGCGGGCTGTAGTGCGGGCCTCCTAGTGCATGTTGGTGTGTGGGCGTAGCGGCCACCATGATTGCAGGTTGGTGTGTGGACTGTAGCGGCCACCAGTCAGTTGGTGTGTGGTCTGTAATCCGGGCACCAGTCAGTTGGTGTGGCTGTAGGCGGCGCCACCGGAGTACAGGGTTGTGGCTGTAGCGTGCCACCGTCCGATGTTGGAGTGTGGACTGTAGCGAGGCGCACTCATTCAAGGTTGGTGTGGGCTGTAGCGGCCACCATCAGTTGTGGCTGTAGCCACCACCATGTCAGGTTGGTGTGTGGTCTGTAGGCGGCCACCCAGTCAGGTTAGGTGTGTGGCTGAAAGCGCCACGCTAGTCAGTTTGGTGTGGGCTAGTAGCGTGCCCAGCCCCCCCAGTCAGGTTGGTGTGGCTGTAGCGGCCACCAGTCAGGTTGGTGCATGGCTGTAGCGGCCACCAGTCAGGTTGGTGTGTGGCTGTAGCGGCCACCAGTCAGGTTGGTGTGTGGCTGTAGCGGCCACCATCAGAGTTGGTTTGGCATAGTAGGCGGCCACCAGTCAGGTTGGTGTGTGGCTGTAGGGCCACCAGATGTCTGGTTGTGGTCGTAGCGGCGTCACCAGTTCAGGTTGGTGTGTGGCTGTAGCGGCCACCTCAGTCAGGTTGAGTGTGGGCTGAAGCGGCCACCAGTCACAGGTTGTGGCTGTAGCGGCGGCACCTAGTCTATGTTGGTGTGTGGGACGTAGCTTGGCGCACGCAGTCAGTTTGTGTGGTTGCTGTATGCTGCCACCAGTCAAGGTTGGTGGTGGTCTGTAGCCGGGCCACGCCAGATCATTTGGTGTAGGCTGTAGCGGCCCACCAGTCAGGTTTGGTGCGGCAGTAGCGCGGGCTTCACCAGTCAGAGTTGGTGTGTGGCTGTAGCGGGCCACCAGTCAGGTTGGTGGTGGCTGTAGCGGGTCCACCAGTCATGTTGTGTGGTGGCGTAGCGCCATCCATTCAGGTTGGTGTTTGTCTGTAGCGGCGCATCCAGTCAGGTTGGTGTTGGCTGTAGCGGCCACCAGTCAGTTGGTGTGGGCTGTAGGGCGGTCACCAGTCAGTTGTGTGTTAGGCTGTAAGGCGGCCACCATTGGCAGGTTGGTGTGTAGCTGTAGCGGCGCACCAGTCAGGTTGGTGTGTGGCTGTAGCGGCCACCAGTCAGGTTGGTGTGGCTGTAGCGGCCACCAGTCAGGTTGGTGTGGCTGTAGCGGCCACCAGTCAGGTTGGTGCGGCTGTAGCGGCCACCAGTCAGGTTGGTGTGTGGCTGTAGCGGGCGCACCAGTCAAGGGTTGGTTGTGTGGCACTGTAGCGCCACCATTCAGGTTTGGTGTGTGGGCCTGTAGCGGCCACCAGTCAGGTTGGTGTGTGGCTGTAGCGGCCACCAGGTACTATGTTTGGTGTTGGTTCTAGTATAGGTCGGCCACCCAGTCTAGGTTGGTGCAGCTGTAGCTGGCCACCGATTCAGGTTGAGGGTGCGTGGCTGTAGCGTGCTCACCAGTCAGTGTTGGTGTGTGGCGTGTAGCGTCCGACGCAGTCAGAGGTTGGTGAGTGTGTGGCTGTTAGGTTCGGCCAGCACCAGTCAGGTGGGTGTGGCTGTAGGCTGGCCACCATTCAGGGTTGGTGTGGCTGTAGCGGTCCACCAGTCAGTGTTGGTGGTGTGGCTGTTAGCGGCCACCAGTCAGGTTGGTTTGTGGCTGTAGCGCGCACAGTCAGGTTGGAGTTTGGGGCTTGTAGCGGCCACCAGTCAGGTTGTGTGTGGGCTGTACGGCCACCTAGTCAGGTTTGTGTGGGCTGTAGCGGCCACCAGTAGGTTGGTGTGGCTGTAGCAGCCACCAGTCAGGTTAGGTGGCGGCTGTAGCGGCGGCACTCAGTCAGGTTGGTTGCTGGCTGTAGCGGCCACCATGCAGTTGTGTGTGGCTGTAGCGGCCTCCCTTCAGCTCGAACCGAGTCAGGTTAGTGTGTGGCTGTAGGGCTCGGGGCCACCAAGTCAGGTTGGTGTGTGGCTGTAGCCGCCACCAGTCAGGATGGTAGTGGTTGTAGGCGCCACCAGTCAGGTTGGTGCGGCTGTAGCCGGCCACCAGTACATGGTTGGTGTGTGGCATGTAGCGGCACCAGTTCAGGTTGGTGTGTGGCTGGTAGCGGCTGCGAACCAGTCAGGTTGTTGTGTGGCTGTAGCGGCCACCAGTCAGGTTGTGTGGCTGTAAGCGGCCACAGCAGTCAGGTTGTGGCTTTTAGCGGGCCACCAGTCAGGTTGGTGTGTGGCTGTAGTCGGCTCACCACCAGTCAGGTTGGTGTGGCTGTAGACGGCCACTGTCAGTCAGTTGGTGTGGGTTTTGGGGGGGGGGGTTGTTTTGTTTTTTTTTTTTTTTTTTTTTTTTTTTTTTTTTTGGGGGGGGGGGGGGGGGGTGTTTTTTTTTTTTTTTTTTTTTTTTTTTTTTTTTTGGGGGTTGTTTTTGTGTTTTTGGTAAGGCGGGCCACCAGTCAGTTGGTGTGGCTGTAGCTGCCACGCATCAGCACTGATCACTGTCACTCATATAACGTAAATAATGAGAAAATTGTCTCATGCCAAACTGGTGTTAATTTTAGCACCGCCTGGTTAGAGTCAGTCTCATCATAAGAAGGTAATGGTTTCAGTTCAGAAGAACGCGACATGTTGAAAATTATACACAGTGTTCAACATCTTGGTATGCTTTTATTGAGGAAACGTTTCGTTCGCCACGGAGCCAGTGGCTTCATCAGTCTCATAGTAGGAGAAACTTGAAGAACAGGAGAAAAATAGGTAATCATCCCTAAACCCTTGAGTCGATGGGGGTCAGTCCATAATCTATTTCAAGATTGGGGGATGCCACATCGCCCGGGGTTAGGGACTGATTACCTCATTCCCCTCCTGTTCTTCAAGATTCTCCTTTGTAGGATGATGAACCCACGTTGGCGAAACGTTTCCTCAATAAAGATCCCCAAGATTGCCTTGTCTAATTTATCATCTTCATAAGAACATGAGAAAGAAACACTGGAGGATCCCTATGGCCATCAGGTAGGTCCAAGCCCCTCCGGCCTAAGCCAATGACGCAAGCTATCGGCCCATGTCACTCCACTCAAAAACAAAGGGAGCACTGCATCAGCCCTTTAGCACAAACTAGTCGGGTTTAATACACCCAATGTATTTATTCTACGGCTGAGTACACCCCACTGGCCTCGCTTGTGCATGTGGGGGCCGAGGGCGAGCGAGTGAAACTCTCTTCTATTATGGGGCATTTTGCTGCTCCACGCAGTTTCATTTTATTAACGTGGGCCCGTTTCCCACCAAGCAGGGGGCCCCAAAAAAAAGAAACACTTTCCCCATTACTCCATCATTTTTTACCAGAGGCGTGCCAACACACATTAAAATAAAAGGGCAGCCCTTAAGCCATGGGAAGGCCTTTGTCAGTGCCAAAAGCTCCAGCTGGGGGATAATATGACTAAGCCCCGCTCGGGAAACACTTGTCCCTTTTTCCCTGACAAATTTACCAAAACCAAAGATTGAAAATATTGGTGCAGGAATATACAGGAAACTCATAAGCTATCCTTTGTCTTTTTTCCCTGTGAAACAAACCTAACCCCGGGCAGGTTAGAACCTTCGATCAGGAGTTTCAAAAACTCCCGACCGACGCGTAAATTCATTTCTGAGTCATTTTATTCCTGGTTTTTGTTCCGGGTGGGATTTAATTTACTGACGTACGGTAGACCTGCTTTGTGTCCTGTGTTGTAATAATTGTTACTTTATAAAGGTATCACTTGCATGGTTAACATATACTAACGAAAAAGACGAAAAAAAACACCTTGCATACACGGTGATATACCGGATATACAAAAAAACATCGATATATAGGGTATAAACACTGTTAGAAAGCAAAGACTTGGCGACGATGCACCATCCCCCCCAAAGAAATGCAGGGTTTCATAGCAGTTTAAAAGACCATACAATAAGTGTCAGGGACCCAGCTGTTAACGCCCCCCAGACCATAAAGGGGGATTAAACAACCCCTGGCAGTCTTCAAGGGCAGGGCAAGCACCTAAAGGCAGTTTTTGATCAGCCGGGCTGTGGTCGTCTTGGTTTGCGTGCAGCGCAGCAAAGCCCGGTTGATCAGGCGGCCACCAGGAGGCCTGGGCCAGACCGGGCCGCGGGGGGTTTTACCCCCCGAAAACTCTCCCGGTAAACTCAGGTATTTTCCAAGTGATATAAAGGTATACAGGGGTATACAAAGGGATATATAAAAATATGTTCATTTTTTTTCCCATTTTAAAATTAAGGTATGGTGCTGTTGGTGTGGAGTAACCTGGGTGACCCTGTGTGGGGAGTAGGCTTTAAACCCCCTAACCAACCTTTACTATTTTTTTTAAAAAAAATTACCCTATTGCCAGTGTTCCGTCTAAACGAAAAAAAAAACAATTATAAAAAAAAACACATTCAAAATTTCCCATTTAATGAATTTTTTGATATCCTGGACGAAGAATTGCATTTTTTTTTTTAAAAAGAACTAGGCGTTTAGAACACAAACTAATCCAAAAAACTTGAAAAAAAAATTTAATCCAAAGTAACTGTATAATAAAAGGTGTAACTAACACTTGTTAATGCTCAGTAATAACCCTTATAGACACACTCAGGAGATTAATTGATCTGGATATATCGATCCCCTTCTGAGGAGGATCCCACAAGGGGGTCGAAATATACAGCTCAATTAATCTCCTGAGTTTCTGTTTCCATGTGGGTTATTATTGACCATAAACACGTACGTTATACAGGTCGATTATAATCAATAATATATATGACCGCTAACTTTGCTCCCCACCAAATATATTATCACCGCCAACTTTATTTCCTCACCAATATCATTCACGGCCAACACGAGTAATCATGTCAGCAATCATCATCACAGCCAGTTATGGTAATAAATCATCATCAATACCCTCCAACACCACCATTAACGGTGTCTCGCTAACACCACCATTAATGGTGTCTCGCCAAATATTTCTGTTCGCCAGTATATTATTTATCTGAAGACGGAGGATCGAGTCTTCAACTGGTCCTGATCATGTTAATCCCAAAAGAAATTGTTTCATCTTGGTGGTGTTGCGAGACACTGGCACACACACACCTCTGGAGTGTACTGGTGTCTGGGTTGGGTTACTGAGTTTCAATCTGGAAGGGGAGTGCATGCTAGTGGGATGGGTTAAGCCAGGATTTCAATCACCTGGGAGGGGTTAAGCCAGGATTTCAATCACCTGGGAGGGGTTAAGCCAGGATTTCAATGTAGTCCACATAAAAATGAATATAAGCCAAAAATTGAAAAAAATATTTTCCTCTGGGGGCTTAAGCCCCCCTGACCCCCTCGTGACTGCTTACCGGTTGTAACAGATAAGTGAGCTGTAGATATAATTCGAGATGTATGCCTGTAAACACTTTTGGGGCCTAGTTCCTAGGCCTATTGTGTATCCATGAGTTCTTATTCTACCGTCCATAGGATGGATACGGAGTGCACAATAAACTAGCCACTACCGTCCATAGGATGGATATGGAGTGCACAATAAACTAGCCACTACCGTCCATAGGATGGATACGGAGTGCACAAACTAGCCACTACCGTCCATAGGATGGATACGGAGTGCACAATAAACTAGCCACTACCGTCCATAGGATGGATACGGAGTGCACAATAAACTAGCCACTACCGTCCATAGGATGGATATGGAGTGCACAATAAACTAGCCACTACCGTCCATAGGATGGATATGGAGTGCACAATAAACTAGCCACTACCGTCCATAGGATGAATATGGGATGCACAATAAACTAGCCACTACCGTCCATAGGATGGATATGGAGTGCACAATAAACTAGCCACTACCGTCCATAGGATGGATATGGAGTGCACAATAAACTAGCCACTACCGTCCATAGGATGGATATGGAGTGCACAATAAACTAGCCACTACCGTCCATAGGATAGATATGGAGTGCACAATAAACTAGCCACTACCGTCCATAGGATGAATATGGGATGCACAATAAACTAGCCACTACCGTCCACAAGATGGATATGGAGTGCACAAACTAGCCACTACCGTCCATAGGATGGATATGGAGTGCACAATAAACTAGCCACTACCGTCCATAGGATAGATATGGAGTGCACAAACTAGCCACTACCGTCCATAGGATGGATATGGAGTGCACAATAAACTAGCCACTACCGTCCATAGGATGGATATGGA